TGATCAAAAAATTCGTTTGAGTTAGGCAGATTTGACGGTACCTATCGGAGTAGTAGACCAACAATTTTGTTGAGGAACCACGAAATACGGTCCGTTGGTCCTCCTACTCAGCTGATGATGGGTCTAATTTTGAAATCACTAGCATTAACTGACTTTTCGCCACCGTTGGACAACTTAAGAGTCTTGATCAGGCTATAGAAAGCCGGGCACGAGAGTGTATCCAACTTCAATCTTCTAATCGACATTCTATCCGATTTCGCTCTCTTTCCGATTGATACCCACAAAGCATTTCATACAGAAGTATCATTAAGGTGGAGTTCCGTGATTTCACGATCCAATGAACGAGGTAGGATCACGAACTCCCCTCCCTTCTCACTCACGGAAAGACGGATTTCACCATCGGCTACGCGTTTTCGTACCTCTCGCAATCCATACCACTGTTCGTTCGCCATATTTGAGAACCTTTCGCGACCATGTCTTTTGAGAACTTTAAGCACTGCCGATGAAAGTACTCGAAATTTTAGGTCTTGTATGAGCGAAGGTTCTGGTTCTTTATAGAACGAACGTGGGGATGGAATAGGCGCCAGCATAGATTCTGTGCTAGTGCGCTAAACCTTTTCGCGCTGCACTCTTTCTGAGCCGTTTTTTCGAACCATGAAGCCCCGTCACCACCTGGCGTTACGTGGAAGGTCCAATCCCTCGAGCGATTGAAAATGATGGCTCAAGACTAAGGAAATCCAGAGCTTTCTCCGATACTGATGACCGCCATTAATAAGTAACTCGTGCCCGATTTCACAGATTGTTCGCTTGCTGAGTGGTCCTAGCTACGCATTGGATCGTAGAAAAGCTGACCTCATTGCTGGAACCATTTCCGTGTTTCTCGCTCCTCAGGGTGTTGTATTTAGCGCATAGCGTTGCTTTTGCCCTAGATCGAATAGACTCACAGACCTCCTTCAGACCACGTTCAATCGCTTTACAGCTGACAGCAGCCGTCTACAAGATTCTTCTTTCGCTTTACAATTCGATAAGCTAGAATACAATATGTACTGCTTCTGTTTAACAGCTAGGATATTACGGTAGATGTTGATGATCCTAGGGTGGTCTTCGTTGAGGTTACATATTGTTCCCAGCTTCTTATTCGTAATGAATCCTGGGAAGACGGACAAACAAACCTGTGCGGCAAAACAGCATAAAACGTACAGCACTAATAAAAATTACTCCTTGACGGCAGTTTTTTTTGAGCGCGTGCTGTTGAGAGGTCCCATAGCCGTTACTTGCTCACAAAGAATAATCGATAAAATTGAAGGGTCGTGGACCTTACCGGCTGGTATTAAAACCATCAACCCGATGAGAAAAGACTTGTTGTCGTTGAAAAGAATTTCATTTATGCCCAAGAACAATCCGTCATTTCACCAATCTAGGCGGGCTCGTGCTCTTAATAAGGAAAAAGAGCACACGCTTGTAATGGGTTCGATCACCGCAAACCTACTGTCTCCCTCCTACACTTGCTCCTACTCCCATGGAACTGCTAGTTAGGCACTTATGTCTTCTCCAGAACGCCATTTGAACTGCAGATTTAGAACTTCTGGGACCACCGACTCTTCCCTTTCATACTCGAACGTCCATCATAGGACAGGTCAATATCATCAACTGAGTGCTATTTCAATTGCAAGCTTATTAGGCATTTTGCCTCGTCGTCGTCATATCCATCGGCGGTGCGGCTTACGCAGGATTTGGGACTTACGATATTAGATTGCTCGCATACCTTGGCTTCTCTCGGGAGGGAGCATAGTAGACTAGCGCTAGCAGTAGTAATGGCGAATAGCGAATGTAGCGTTCTGAGCAGGGTCTCTGAGCAACGCACAAGCCGAGCTACAGCGATTTCTGAGGCACAAAAGGCCAATCATCTTACATTTCCGGACGTTAGAGTGTTATTCGGAATGACTCTGTGTTTTGCTAGTTTTCAAACCTGCAGTCGCAAAGACGAATTTCATACGGTACTGTTTCTTCGGATCTCGTAGCGAGGTTACCTTAGAAAGCAGAGCGTGATGACGATCACTTGCATCGACGCCCGAGCACGCAGGTACCAGCGATTCTTTACCATTGATACAGCTTGCATTACTCGTGATTGCGGTAACCGACAGCGCCATCATGACCACCTAGATGGCGGGTGCTCGTTTGTCACGCCGGAGTTCGGCCTTCGTTTTCCTCTCTCCCCCTCCTTTGTTTATTTATTACTAACAGTATCGCGTGTCCTCCAAACAATAGAGAGAACTTCAGAACAACTTTGGAATTGTGGTGGGGGGGGGGGGG